ATCACTCGCCTCAGAAGGAGACGGTGATAAGAGATGAGATTCCCCATGAAATATGATTAAACACATGTCTGTTGGGAGACAGGTGAGTGGTCTTGGGTAGGGTTGTGCATGCGGTGTTTGGACAAAATACATTGACTTCTACTCGAGATCTGAATAAATTTAGTCCTAAACCTATGGGGATTATCCGGAGTATTTGAGTGATTGGGAGTAATTTTCTCAATTCATAGCACAATAGAGGTAGCAGATTTGACAGTGATTATTGTTCTCTTGGTCACTTGAGCTTTCTGCTTCCTCACTCTCATAGTGTTCACTCAGTTACTCACTCACTCTCGGTTTTGTCCCTTGGGTAGGCTTAAATGGGTTTGTTAAGCCATTGGGACTTATCTCTCATTTCTCTTTGCTCTTTTCTTTTCTCTTTGTGCTCCCCTCAACTAGAGCACTCAGTAGGACACCTTTGACGATGATTGGCGCTTGGGAGGAGAACTTTGAAAACTCCCCCTCAAAATCCGCATCCTTGAGAGAATCCTTGCATTTTACATTGTCTAGCATCAGGAGGAGAAAAATGAAACTCCCCCTCAAAAGTTGCAAGTTGTGTAGTTTGTTACCAGGGGAGTAAAGTAGAAAACTCCCCGTTGGAATGTGCTTTCTTCATTGTTTGGCACCAAGAGGAGTGAATAAGAAACACCCTCCCTTAGAATAAGCACTTGTTGTTTGTTCTTGGCACGTGTTGGTGTTGAGGTGTGCATTTGATGATTTTCAGCTCATTCGGGAGTGTACATGCCAGTACTCCCTTTCATAATGTGCACCAGTTGATTGCTCACAGCTCGTCTTCATACCTGCCATGTGTGTGGAGCAATCGGATCAGTTACCACACATGACGGACCTGCAAGGATTAAGAAACCTTTGGTACCCATTTTAGGGTGGGTGGGTCCATCCCTTTTAACACAAAACAAATTTTGAAATTTTTGTTTTATTTTTGTTCCTAAACCAGTCTCTTTTGAAGCTTTTGAAGAGCTATATGACTGGGATTCTGATTTAGGAACCCATTTTTGAGTTATTGCAGGTGTATGAGAATTTTCAGCGCAAGTGAATGATGAAACGGATTTTCGAGAAGTAAAGATTTTCTCCCTCGATAACCGTTTTAGGTGTTTGGCTGATTAAACCTTGAGGGGATAATTCAGGCAAACTCCATCACAAACAGTATAAGTCGAAGCTTTAAATCTTTTCAGTTTTGATTTGCCATCATTCACATCACAATGAGGTTTGGAAGCCTTAACCTTTTGCTTAAGTTTTTCAGGCTTTCTAACCTCATCACTTGAATTAGAAAACACAGATCCAGAGTCATTAGAAAAGGACTAGGAAGAATGGTGTGTGACAGAGCTAAACGATTGAGAGCTTGAACTTGAACTTTCTTTTAAAACTCTCTTTGAAATAGGAGAGGAGGTGGAGGTTGTGTCTGTTCGGGGGGGGGGGGGGCAATTTTGAGAAACAGATTTTTCTTCCCCTGCAGACACAGACTCAGACTCACTGGCCGGAGTAAAAAGTGATACATAGTCATCAGACAAAGGAATTTCCCTAGACTTATAACTATCATTCAGTTTGGTGTAGTCAAACGAGATCTCAGCCTTAGGATTATTTTCTCTCTTTTCCTTTTCTTCGGCATCAGTTTCTGACGCTCCCACGAAGGACATAAGTTTCGTCAAACCCAAGACCATATATCCAATGTCATACAGTTGAAGACAATTGATTTTCTTCAAGTTGCATGGGTTTTGGATACCTAAGCCTTCCTTGGGATTGTAGAAAATAGTGTCTTTAGGCCGGTTTAAGAAAATATTTTGATCTGTTTGACCTCTCTGAGCAAGTAAGTCCTCAAACTCTTTAATCTTAGAATATAATTTACATCGTTCAGTTTGAATAAATTCATAATTGCCTTTTGTTATGTTGCGTTCAAGTTCATAAGCTTTCAATTGTTTAGTTAAATCACAAACATTTACTTCTAACTTTTCCTTTTCTAAAGTTAACTTCTTGACCTTTTCTTTAGAATTTTCTAGTTGTATGGTAAGTGAGGAAGATTTATCCAGCTGCTCCATCAAAACTCTGTGATTGTTTGTTAATCTCTCTTCCAATTCCTTGATAATTTGTTGACTGCCAGATGTACTTACCTCAGGCTCATTAGAAACTTTAGCGCATTTGTTCTTACATAATGATGATGAGCTAGAGGTATTCATTGTTGATTGTTGAATGTTGACAGTAGACGAGAGGTTGATTGAAGTTTCTGCAATTTTCTGAACCTTGAAATGTAGCTTGGATCTTGAGAAAAATAGTCTTAACCTTGAGATTTTTTTTAATCTCAAGGTTGACTCTTGGAAGCTTTGATTGTAAGGTTGACATTTTGTGTTGGAATTTTGGACCTTGAAGTGGCTCAAAACTAGCTCTTGAAAAAGATAGATGAAAAAGTGTGCTTTTCAAGTGAAGGATAAAATGAATCTTTTTAACTATCCCACACCTAAACTCTTTGGGAACTTTTGAGCCTATAAACAGGAATCACTCCTTCCTTAGTAGTAAAAGGTGAAACAAAAGAGGGGAGCTCTTGCGCACATAGGATTTCCGCTTCCAGATCGAAAATTCACACCCCAACCCCCTGTGCGGGTGACCTGCTGACACGAATGCCAAAAAAATTTGCTTATCTCGATATATTTATCGAGATTTGCTAAACTCCAATATTTGCATATCGAGATATATTTTTCGCACTTGAAGTTCTCGAACCCGTCTTTTTTCGATAAACCTGAACTTCGAGAAACATGTCTTCTTCACAAAACCTGCAAAAAATCTCAAAACTTCGAAATTTCAAAAATCCCAAAAACAGAATTTCACCCTTGTTTATCTCAAATATTGATCGAAAACTTCCAGCGATGGCAAAATAGTGTTGAATGCAGATTAGTCAAACCAAAATGTCGAAAATCAAATTTTCGAATACAAAGGCCTTTTTCGAAAATGGCAGATCCGAAAAATCGCAGATGGATTCAATCTATTTCACGTCTCGGCTCCGATTCCAATTGTTTTTCCCTATTTCATCCAACAATCATACAAAATATATAGGGTAGAGAAGGAATATCTTTGATTCAAGGGAGAATTCCCTAAATAGGAGTAAAAAAGATTTGAAATTCCAAAATAGAGGTATCATGTTTTTTATTCCTTGAATAGGAGTAAATTTCTGCCAAGTTTGGCATTACTAGCTTTAAAATATGGCATTTTCTTCCAAACTCGGCAGATTACTCATATTAAGGGAATAAAAAACATGATACTCCTATTTTGGAATTTCAAAACGTTTTTGCTCCTATTTAGAGCAATTTCTATTGATTCAATGCCAAGAATGATGGAAAATACGGAAAAGGGTATCGAAATAGCAAAATTGCGGCTCTCTCTCACTAGAATGATATGTGCATGACAGTTCGTATACCATGCAACCGTCCCACTGTGCGCATGGTATACCATCCCAAATTGCACTGGGCTTTGTTATTTTTTATTTCTCCTTTTCTTAAAAATGTTAATAATTTTTTTATTTGTGATCCGATTTTTATAAAATATATATCAAAATTTTTTATTTTTCACGATCTTTCAAATGAGACCAATATTGCCATGTAATTTTAACATATTAACATTTGCGTGTAAAAATATGTAACTTTATGTGTTGAAATATGTAACTCACGTTCAGTCAGGCCAAATGTAACTCGTGTGTATAAATATGTAACTCTATGTGTAAAAATATGTAACTTTACGTAAAAAATATGTAAATCACGTTCAGACAGGTCAAATGCAACTCGTGTGTATAAATATGTAACTCGCGTGTATAAATATGTAACTCTACGTGTAAAAATATGTAACTTGACGTGTAAATATATGTAACTCGCGTTCAGGCAGGTCAAATGCAACTCGTGTGTATATATATGTAACTCGCGTATAGAAATATGTAACTTTACGTGTAAAAATATGTAACTTCACATATAAAAATATGTAACTCACATGTATAAATACCTAATACAATAAATTTTTTATATACACAATTTTAAGATAAATTGTGATTTACACAATTATTTTTCTGTATTAAATTTAGTTCGGTTTTCGTTATAATCCAATATTCATTTATATAATAGTTCCATAATTTGTTAAAATTACATAAGCAATATTGGTCTCATTTGATAGATCATGAAAAATAATAAAATTTAATATAAAATTTATAAAAATCGGATATGAAATAAAAAAGTTATTACAAATTTTAACAATAAAAGGAATACAAAATAATGGAACCGGGCCACAATACTCCATCGTTTTGCAACCAAGCGCACCATCCTCATGGTGCGCCGGTTGCACGGTATAATCTGCGGTGCGTGAAGTTAGCTTCAGGGTGTCTAACTTAAGACTTACAAGAGGACTTAAGTTAGCTTCCTTTTATGTAACTTAAGGATATGTAACTGTTTCTCTTAAGTTAGCTTCCTTTTATACATAAGGATATCTAATTTAAGACTTACAAGAGAGCTAATGGGCGAAAATACATTTGTGGCCCACATTACACATTTAATTAATAACTATACAAATACAAAGATATTTAACTAGATTGGACACCATAAAATATTCCCAACATAGTTACTACAGTATAATCTCATAGTCACTTAAGTGTAAAAATTAAACATAAGTTGTTATGACTAAGTTACTACTATAGTTACTAATCATATTTTTGTAAACTACATTTATTTTAGTCTCACACACACACGCATATGTGTGTGTGTGTGTGTGTGACTATTGCTATTTTTAATTATTGGCCTACAATTTAAGTATTGATGGTATTTTTATTTCAATCAAGTACTCCAATATGATTTATTTTGTGGCGATATGAATGGTACTCACTAATATGATAGTGTAATTTTAATTTTCGTCTAGGCACCAAAATTCTCAAAGACGGCCCTGTAAGTAGTACAAATTAAAATAAATGTACTCATTGGTGCAATTTTAAAAATATTGATATATATCAAAGGTTTCTAAACTTTGGTTTATGCTCCAACCCCCTTCCCAAATCTGAACTTTATGCATTAATCTCTATATTCAAAAAGTGAGTCAAATTTTCATGAGTTATGAACTATCAAGCGGCAAGAGGACATATTAATGTCTTCTCTTAGCAGACCCACTAATGAATAACTTGATCCGTTTAGAATTTCAAAGATTGCTCCCGAAGCATCGGATTCTACCTTGATTGAAGTCCCGCCAAAATCTTTCAACCAACTCAAAGCCTCTCTAATCCCGACCAACTCAGCGCCTAATGGCATTAATCTTCCCGGCCAATCCTTGGACACTCCAGCAATGAACTGGCCATCGTCACCTTGGAGGCACCAGCCTAGACCGCAGTTGTCCGGCCTGATTGTTGCATCAACGTTCAGTTTCTAGAAGCCAAGAGCTGGTCTGGGTCAGGAAATCCTGCTCTGTTGCTTGACCTGCTGCCTCCTTCCTCGTAAGATCTGCATCTGCGCCTGCTTCCAGCCATCCACCAGCACACGAGCCCGGTTAGCCAGCTGCGACGATGAGGATTTGCCCGTCCAAACTCGTTGGTTGCGCTCGTTCCATAGCGCCCAGCAACCCCAGATCAACCTCTCTAGCTCCTCCATCTTCTTAGTCTTGAATTCCTTGTTAACTTGATCCAAGAAACAAAAATCCACCCCAAAAGTCCACTGCCAGTGCATGTTTCTCCATAAATCCTGGGCAGCAGCACAATGTATAAAAAGATGCTCCAAAGATTCGGCACCAGCTCCGCATAATCCACAAAGCTCCGAGCTTTCAACTCTACGAACCTGCAAATTTAATCTCAAAGGAAGGCAACCGCTACATACCTGCCAAAAAACAATTTAATTTTAGGTGGAAGTTTAAACTCCCACATACCGGTACATTCCGTATCAGAAAGTCCTCCCAGGTCGCCCACAATTTTCTGGTAGCAACTGCGCACCGAGAAATTCCCGCTTTCCTCCCATCGCCAACATAAAGAATCCTTTATTGGATTCCTTCTCAAAGGTATGCCCCGAATGATATCTGCGTCTCTAGCCTCAAAAATATCCCCGATGACATCCATATCCCAAGCTCTCTGATTTACAGCAAACAAATTTGCCACCACCACCTCCTGCAGCCCCTCACACTTCTCTGAAATAATCCTCAGATTTTCTCTGTCTGGAAGCCACGGTTCCTCCCAAATATTGATGGAAAGACCATCACCCACTCTCCAATAATAGCCATCCCGAATAATAGTCTGGGTGTGAAGTAAACTGTACCAGACAAAGGACGGGTTGCTACCAGGTTTTGCTTTAAGAAAATCCCCGTCGGAAAATATCTAGCTTTATAGACCCTACTAACCAAAGAGTCAGGATTCGTGAAAATTCTCCATGCTTGCTTGGACAACATGGCTAGATTAAAATCCCGGGGTCTTCTAAATCCCATTCCGCCCGCTTTTTTAGGAACACAGAGAGACGCCCAATTCTTCCAGTGAATACCTCTTCCTGCCTTACCCTTCCACCAATAACTATACATAGCGTTTTCAATCTCACAACAAAGATCAACAGGCAAAAGAAAAACATTCATAGAATAAGTTGGCATAGCCTGGATGACAGCCTTCAAGAGAACCTCCCTACCAGCCTTAGATAAGAATTTGCTATTCCAGCTATTTATTCGAGAGATCACTCTCTGTCTGAGATAGCTTAAAATATTTTTCTTATTGCGTCCTACCAATGCTGACAAGCCCAAATACTTTTCATCTTCCCCAGCCAACCCAACTCCAAGTAAATCAATCAGACCCTCCCGATAATTCGCCTCAACATTAGAGCTAAAAAATACCTTCAATTTATTAAAATTAATTACCTGGTCTTATGCACTTTCATAATCCGCCAGCACTTCTTTAATCAAGGAAGCCTCATCATGATTAGCTCTAAAGAAAAGAATGATATCGTCTGCAAAAAATAAATGAGAAATCATTGGGGCCCTTCGGGCAATTGAGACCCCATGCAAACGACCAATGGATTCAAATTTACGGAGTAAGGTACTAAGGCCTTCCGTCACAAGCAAGAAAAGATAATGGGATAAAGGGTCCCCTGTCGTAAACCCCTCCCAGGTGTCATCGGCTCAATCACTCCATCATCAAACGGGATGGAATAAGAGACAGAAGTGACGCACTCCATGATCACCCCTATCCATTTTTCATGAAAGCCTAGACTCCTCATCATGCCCTCCAGGAAAGGTCATTCGACACGATCATAGGCCTTGCTCATATCATGCTTCAGACCCACCATACACATCTTTCTCTGACACTTACATTTCAAATACTGTTGGGACTCAAAAGCCAACTTCATATTATCAACAATACATCAACCCGGTATGAAAGCACTTTGTTGTTCAGAATTGCACAAATGGAGAATATTTTTCAAGCGATTAGCAAGCACTTTAGAGAAAATTTTATAAATGACGTTTCATAAAGCAATCGGTCTCCGATCACTAAGAGATTCAGTTTTTTCTTTCTTCGGAATAAGAACAATATTAGTGTGATTAATAAAATTTGGAAGCTTACCTCTCTCGAACGTTGTCCTGCAAAAATCAACAATATCCGGACCCACCACATCCCATAAATGCTGGTAGAATCCCGGACTGAAGCCATCCGGACCAGGGGATTTGTCAGGAAACATGTCGAAAGCTGCTACTTTAACCTTCTTGCCGCGAATGGGACTCAGTAGGTTATGATTATGTGGGTCATCTACACGGCGTTGCACGCGTCCAAATGGACTCGTTTATCTTCCTTATCTTTTTATATTCTTATGTTATTTTTATCTTCTAACTTTTTTATGCTCTTTTATTTTTTATCTTTTATCTTTGTTATATTCTTGTGTTATTGTTATCTTATATTTATTTCTTTATTTTATTTATTTTATCTTACCTTTTTTTTCCTTTTCTTGTCCGTCTTCTCTTTTTGGCATCGTTATCATAGATCGATTCATGTTAGCCGACCCCAAATTCTTTTGAGATTAAGGCTTGGATGTTGTTGTTGTATGCGTCACTTTTCGTTTTTTTCGTTAATCTTTTTTGGGCTGCACTCTGAAGTTCAAAAACTGCACATGAATATAATACAGATCTCAATTGGATAATAACTTATACAAAAGCTAACAAAAATACCCAAAATTCAAATCTCAATTGGATATATAACGTATATAGTTCAGTAACTTCAGTTTTTAAAACTAATTATAATATTTTCGAAAAACAAAGTGATTATAATAAACAGACTATCTCAAAGCAACAAGTGTTTGTTTCGTTAATTCCAGCCAGGACATAAGAAATCCCGGGAGTAGTAAAGCATTAAATTTCTAATTTTGATATGTTTTTGTTATTTCAATGTGCATATATCCTATATTCGAATTTAAAAAAGCTATTTTAGTATGTCGTATATTTTTCAAATTTTTCAAAGCATATTACTGAGTTTGCAGTACATTTTATTAATTTACAATGATCAGACTACTTAAGACTCCATTATGCTAATATATTTTACCCAATATAATTCTGGAAAAGATAAACTCAAGTCGAACTCAATAACAAAGAAACCAAACTCAAATCATCCAAAGTTGATGGAAGCTTACATATCGTCTCATCTACAATTATTGTCGTCAAAAGTCTTGAAGAGTAGGCGACCGAACTGGAGAGTTCTAAAAAGAGTCCTACTTAAATCGTTGTCATGCTTGTCAAGCAAATCACGATTACAATTTACAAATATCAATTTTAGACTCTTCAGCCTTCATCAAGTCTGATTTTTTGACAAAATATGACCTAACTCGGACGCCTAAAAATATCAAGGGAAACCATTGTACAAAACAACAAATTTTCTGCAGATATTTTTGCCAGAACTAGCCAATAATAAATAAACAAATAAATAAATAATATTGGAAATTGGAATGATAACATTTTATAGCATGAAAAACATTACAAAGACGGCATCAAATTCATTTGTTCACTCAAAGGTGCTAGGCAACTAAATAATTTTTCTTTAAAAATAAATAAATTGGAATACATGGGGACATCAGATCTTTTGTTGGACCAAAAACAAATGCGGAATAAGAATAAATGATAAAAACTAAAATGAATGCCAATCCAAAGTCCAAACCAGACAAGGAACAGGGAAGGCTCACAGGATTAAGGATACACTATACACGATCGTCTATGCTACAGAATAGGCTTTCCTTGAAGCTAGTGGAAAACAGATGAAACTTAGAGTTAGTATTTTAACTTCTAAAGCCAAACGCAGACCATTTCCTTGATGAGGATTCTTTCTTTGTCCTCTTGGAATTAGGGTCGATGAGGTTTTCCAGTGATTTGGCCTTCTTGTTTCTACACTTGCCCGCCTCTTTCAGCAGCTCAGCCAGCCTTTTCTTCTCATCGTCAAAGTCAGGATTTGCCGTTCCAAGCTTCTCCTCTCTCAATTTAAGAACGTACTCCAAAATCTCTATTGCGTCTTCAACTCTGTGCATTCATACAATTCAGCAATCAATGAAGCATATGATGGATGTGATAAAACTTATGTGTGAAGTTTATGAATTGAATGGTTTATTTATTTATTTATTTATTTGAAAGTATAATGAATGGATTAAATAGAATTCATTAACCCATTAATATTCCCTAAAAGGTAAAAACAATCTACGCATGATCTTACAAGTCTATATAAAGATTTACTCTCTCCGTCCCATTATCATTGTCTCATCTTTCATTTTTCATCCGTTTCACTAAGTTTGTCATATACCATATTTAGTAATATTTGTGTACGTTTTAATTCATTCTTATTTTGTTCATACCAACTACTTAACGGCATTTTTTAATATCAATTTTCCACTAGGGAAGAAAAATAGTACATTCGAGGCATTGTCTCCGTATGGAAGATTCTTCTTCTAAAAAGGCTATTCAAAATTCAAAAAAGAAAGTGACTTAGCTAGTCAATTACTTCCCGGTAGTTGAATAACTTCCGGGGAGTCGAATACCTTATACTAAAAAGGGCGCATAGTATGTTTGTCATGACTCATTACATTTCATCTAGTTTGTAGAAGAAATGCTGTGATTTCATCTATAATCTACAGCAGGATTTTTTTTTGTTTAGTAGATGAACACTTAAGGAGAACCTTGACGCACTAGTTAAGGTGTTGTTGTCTGACCGAGATGTTATGGGCTCAAGTCTTAGGAGTTTCCTTTTGTAAACAAATTGATGGGGAAGGCTTGCCCCTTAAACACCCTTCTTCGGACCCTCGTCTTACAGGGATGCCATCATGCCCTAGACTGCCCATTTAGTAGATGAGCATTTAAGTAGATTAAATGAATAGATACTTGGAGTATCTTTTCATTTTATCTAACACCATTTTATCTTTTCTCATATCCTCTATTCTCTCCAACGTTTATTCAATTCCCATAATTTTATTTCTTATATATATATATATATATATATATATATATATATATATACTAAAACATTGTCATGTCATTTCACATTTTTCACAAATCATTTCATCTAATCCTGGAAACTTGCGTACTGTTTTAATATCGCAAGTCATCATCATATACTCTACTTTCATCTTTCATCCATCATTTCATATTTCATCAATCACCTAGTAGTGTGAAACAATCTATAATACATTCAATCCATCCATTAACAATTTTGGCCAACATAGAAATAAATCATATTAAATGTAGAAAATTCAACCAGTCTAATGGATGGTATTTTAAAGATTTTGTTAGTGTAGTTTTGTGGTCCAATGGATCAAAAGCAATAACGGATGTATCACTAACCATCCATATGATACAAATGGATGGATTAGGACCGATCCATTATTAATATTCTTTAAAAGAAGAAAAAGGATGGAATTTCATTCACTTTGGACTGATAAATCTCATTAACCTTATGTAATGAACAAGAAATACAAGTATACAACTTTACCTTCCCATTGCATCGTAAGTTGCCGCAAGGTTACTGTACACACCAAGTGTATCTTGATGGCAAGGGCCACACTCATGTTCCAAGATTTCTCTTGCTTCTTCAAACAGTTCAGCAGCCTCATCAATTTTGAACAACTGTACGGATGACAAGCCCATTTGGTTTAACACCACCCCAAAGAAGGCTGATTTCCTCTCCCCGCTGGCTCTAAGTTTTGCCACTGCACTCTCGAAAGAGCTTCGTGCTTCATCATATCTTCCCACCATATAGAACATCACACCCATCCTTGCCTCTAATCCAGCAATTGTACTTTGCTGCCCCGGTTTATCCTCCAAAAACTTCAGAGACTTGGACAACAGCTTCAGTGCTTCTTCGGGTTCATTAAAAAGTTCATATATGGAAGAAATTTCTGCCATTCCACTTGCAATATCCTCTGCACTAGTACCAGGAACGGGTTTTGCATATATCCTAAGGGCATTCTCACAATATGATCGAGACTCCCTCAGCTTGCCAGTTTTGTAGTATAAATCAGCAAGCCTCACAAAAACAGAGGCAACCGAAGGATGGTTATCACCCTTTGATGATTTGAACACAGTAAGTGCCTTCTGGTAGGAAAAAACCGCCTCATCAAAGCGAGACAGAGACAAGTAGATGTTACCAATGCTAACATCAATAGCAGCAACCTCATTCTCCTGTCCATTGGCAATCATTGCCATGCTGGCGAGCACAAGGTGTTCAAGTGCAGATTCATAATCACCCTTTGCCTCACATATGAGAGCCATTAACCGCCGATCAGCAGCTTCTTCGAGAGATGCTGGTGGGCTGTGGACTCTATGTATTTCAAGTGTTCTTTTACACAAACTCTCAGCCTCGTTGAATTGCATTGCCTGAACATGTGCCTCCGCAAGGTACCTGCGATATTAGACCATTTGCCACAAGGCAGCCGATAAATATGCAACTTAGGATGCCGCATTAAGGAACTTAATTTCTTGCATAAAAGACAAGAATTACCGCCTCACAAGATCCACAAGATTATCCTTATACCTAGATTCACAAGATTTAAACTTTTATGGTTTTGCTGCCTCACAAGAAATAAGAAAATAATTTGCCTGGCCAATTTTTCCCCCATTACCTAGCATTTCCTTGAATCCAAAATTCCAAACATACCCTAGATCCCTTGAAACAGCATGTTCCACCAATTTTTCATTTCCAGATTTTCTTTCAAAATTTCTCCAATTTTCTGCATCATATAGATGCACCTAGAGTAGATCTAATACTCCTACATTCCCAACATATGACTTCATTATAATTAAAAAATAATGAATTAAGGGAATGCTTTCATATGCAGTCAAACAAAAAATAATGAAAAAAATTATGAATAAGTTCATTTTGATAAAAATATATTGGTGTAAGTAATACTGCAAAGAAAACATAACAAAAGTTTGCATAAATTGTGTAAATTAGAGGATTTAGAGCCTGTTTAATCCTTAGAATGGC